CCAGAATTCCCCTGGCCAGGGAATTCTGGGAGTTGAAGTCCACGCATCTTCAAGGGGCTGAGGTTGAGAAGCGCTGGAACAGAGCGAGCTCTTTTGTGTGCTGTTGTGCAACTGTGGCTCTCTCTCTTCGTCCTCAGCTGCACAAGAAACACATTCGGTCGGTCAACATCGGAGGGACCGGAATAGTTCTGGAAGGTGCGTAACTGGGTGCTGGTGGGTGGGGGACAAGAGAGAACAGATCTTCATTTTGGCTGGACAAAGTTCAGGATTGAGCTAGAGGGGAGGCCATGCTTCAGCAATTTGAGGCTTATGTTTGGGGACTGGGGAGACCGGTAAATTTTTTTTGCAGCAGGGAAAGACACGTTCAATAGGATTCTGCCGTCACAAGGAGAAGCTGAGCGTGCAATCGTGGTGCTGTTGCCCAATGCTTTCAGCGCACAGACATTTTCTTCAAGCTTTTAACTGGAGAACAAAACCCCACAATCCTCTTGTCATGTCGTCCTATAAAACAGGGGAAGAAAATGGCAGGTTTCCAGTCATGGCTGAATGAGTGCTTCCAGAATCTGTCATTCAGAATCACCGGGTGGGGCCATATCCCATTTTCCAGGCTGGAGGTTATGCTTGCTCTTCTCCCTGGGGCAACAGAGAATAAGTCTTATCTCCTTTCACCGCCCATGTTGACTCTACTCTTACAGCTCTTCTTTGTGTGTCCACAATTTTGCTTGTTCCCCCCAAAAAGCGGCTGCCAATTTCTTCCTCCCCCGTTTGCTGCCACACCCTCAAAGCAAAAGCTCTTTCAGGTGGAACTGAAACTCCGGGTGACACCCTAGAAGCGTCCACGTTCTTGCCAGCAGCGCAAAACTAATTTCCCTTTGCCTTCTTGCCCAATGGTTTTCCACTTCTCAGACCAGCTGACGGTCAAGGGATCTCCTCGTGGTCTCCCATCCCGGTACTATCCAGCTCTGACCTGCTTAACTTTTTGAAATCAGTCTTGCTCAGCAACACCTTGCCCGCTGTGCCTGCCACACCTGGTACCGGTCACTCCTCCAGGCCGCCGTGCGATGCCACCTTTTGCCCTGACGCAACCTTTCGGCCGCGTTGTGTTCTTGCCTCACCAGCCCCGCTCCCTTTCTGTGTCTCCCCAGTCTGCAAGCGGCAGAGCATCCCAAGACTGATCTACACCAGCTCGGTCAATGTGGTCTTTGCTGGACAAACCATCATTGACGGCGACGAAGCCACTGTACCGTATTTTCCTCTAGAGCAGGTACTTGAGCTGAAATAAATTACTTTTTCGCCTTTGGCTGAACTTGGGAGTTGGATTCGAAAGCCCTGGGTGCAGAAGGAGGGGAGTGGCCAGCTGTTTCCTCCCGGTGTGGAAGCTTTTGTACGGGTGTGCAAGGCTTCACTCTCCGATTTCCCGAAGCACTTTGGAGCGTGTGAGGGGGCCAAATGCAGCTCTGAAGCCACTTTTTTGGCCTTGAATCCAAAGCACCGCACGAAAATCATATTTTGTGTATACTTTCTCTCTCTCTCTCTCTCTCTCTCTCTAGCAAGTTAATGAATATTCCCGGACGAAATCAATTGCAGAACAAATGGTCTTAGCGGCCAACGGATCACGCCTGGCAGGTACTTCTCTGCAAGTTTCCGCGCTTGATTAAAACTCAGGACTAGTTCTGCCCTTCAGGTGATTGTGGGGGATCAGGGCAGATCGAGCGGGGAGGGTGAGATCACTCCAAAAGGGCCCCCTGAATCTTGGTCCCCATATTGGGAAGGGATGGGAGTTTTCTGCTGCACGATCCTGCAAGGAATATGAAAAGATCCTGCGAGGAATATTAAACAGCCATGATTAATGACTATTTATTCATATTAAAAGGCAGCCATCAATAGACACATAGAGATAAATCACGTTTACACACCATTCAAGAGAGACAATAACAAAGCTAAGAAGGGAACAAAAAGACCAGAACATATCCTTTCCAGCAACCTACTCCCAGATAAGCAGGGATTAACACCAGACAACAATCAAGCAGAAAACAATACCCTAATCAAGGAATTACCAACGAGAAAACCCCACCCCACCAACACTGGCAGGGAAAGCTACTGTATGTAAACAGAAACCAAACACCATACTCACGAGCACTGATATTGTTACCTAGTTAGTTAATGAAACATTTGCAAGCAAACCACCAAGCTCAGAGAGCACCAAGGACTCCACAATATTAAAAGATTTTCTTCCAATTTATACATTTACCTGTACCGTTTTCTGTCTAGAATTTCTCCCAAGTCACTCAGAACCACTCCTATTATTTTAATGCTTGCACACCATAAAAGCAAGGATCTCTGCGGGGGGGGGGTGTCCAAAAGGTCAAGCTGATGGCCGCATCCACACACTCCCCATGGGGGGGTTAGTACAGCTTTTCTAAAAAAGGTTCATTGCGATGGACGAATTCACTTGTAAACCATTGTCAGCCTTGCGAGGTAGTCCAGACAAGAAGCATGCCCAGAG